GTCTGCCTTCAGACGATGGGCACCACAACACAAGGGCTCGTGAACGTTTCCATCAGGAGAGGGACAATAGCAGCTTTGTGGGACTGAGCCCAGCATCAGCGCTCGGTGTTCAGCAACAAAGCGCAACCCCGAAGAGCCCTGCCACGCCACCAGCCTGGCTTCCAGCTCAGAGAGGACCCCCACTGCCCGGTGGGCTCATCCTTCGTCCCCTTCAGGCCACGGTTAATTAAATTCTCACAAAGCCGAGCAGCACAAAGCAATTTTCCTGGCTCAGCACAACCCGAGGAGGCCTTTCACTTTTTGGCTGGAGGAAGGGAACTGCATCCCACTGCTTGCTCTTACCGTGCTGCCTGTCCACCCACCACCTGCACACGTACGTCCCACCCCATCCACTAATGTCACCAACCGGGCTTTGTCCTTAGGCAGGCTTGGCCCTTCCTGGGTTTCAGACTGGACTCTGTTCAAACCTCGAGCCCCTCTCCCTGAAGGACCGAGCTCTCGCAGCTCCGTGCGTGCCCAGGGAATGTCTCTGCGTGGGCAGGAAGGGTTCCAGGGCGCTGCGTGCTCCAGCAGACGTGGCACACCAGCCTGCGCCCACTTATCAGTAGCATCACAGTAGCTGGTGGTTAAAATCCAGAAGCTGCTCTGCTCTGCAGCCTGTGCGGCGTCGGTCAGGTTTATAGTGTGAAATTATTTGATTTTCCCTTTCAGTTCTTGTGGAGGTGGAGGTGGTGAGTAATAAATGCAGCTGTGCTGCCTGGGTCTTAGACTTGTATGGGAGTGTCGTAGAATCCTAGAATGGTTTGGGTTGGAAGGGACCTTCAAGATCACCCAGTTCCAACCCCCCTGCCATGGGCAGGGACACCCTCCACTACACCAGGTTGCCCAAAGCCTCATCCAACCTGGCCTTGAACACTTCCAGGGATGGGGCAGCCACAGCTTCTCTGGGCAACCTGTGCCAGTGCCTCACCACCCTCAGAGGGAAAAATTTCTTCCTTAGATCTCATCTAAATCTCCCCTCTTTCAGTTTAAAGCCATCACCCTTTGTCCTGTCACTACACGCCCTTGTCCAAAGCCCCTCTCCAGCTTTCTTGTAGCCCCTTGAGGTACTGGGAGGCTGCTGGAAGGTCTCCCTGGAGCCTCCTCTTCTCCAGGCCGAACAGCCCCAACTCTCTCAGCCTGTCTCCATAGCAGAGATGCTCCAGCCCTCGGATCATCTGTGTGGCCTCCTCTGGACCCGCTCCAACAGCTCCATGTCCTTCTATTGGGGTCCCAGAGCTGAACGCAGCACTGCAGGTGGGGTCTCACGAGAGCAGAGCAGAGGGGCAGAATCCCCTCCCTGGACCTGCTGCCCACGCTGCTTTGGATGCAGCCCAGGACACGGTTGGCTTTCTGGGCTGCCAGCGCACATTGCTGGCTCATGTTGAGCTTCTCATCAACCAACATCCCCAAGTCCTTCTCCTCAGGGCTGCTCTCCATCCATTCTCCGCCCAGCCTGGACTTGTGCTTGGGATTGCCCTGAGTACAGTTGTGCAGCACTGACCCAGCCAAGTGCCAGCTGGGGTCTTGCACACTGAGATTTGCCTCCTGTGGCTTCAGCGTCCTCAGACTGGGACACACAGCCTAGGCACGCAGCCTGGGTGAACACACATCCTCCCCTGTGGCTTGAGGACCAGGACAGAGAGGGTCTCACCTGCTTTCACAAGCTGCAGACAGGACAAGGGATTCAGGAGAGTTCAAGCCTGTTGGGTACCTCCTTGCTGTCCTCGTTGTGCATGCACAGGGTCCCCCGGCCACACCAGGCCACCGAGGCAGGCATTTCATAGAATCATGGAATCATAGAATGGTTTGGGTTAGAAGGGACCTTAAAGATCATCCAGTTCCAACCCCTCTGCCACTACCCTCCTGCCTGGTCCCCTGCGCCCCCTTCTCCAGCACTGCCACTGTCCCTGTCGTGCTCTGTCACCCAGGGGAAGGGGCTGCCCAGGTCATCACAGCAGGTTCCCCTCTGCCCCCTCCAAGGAACCCCCCGGACAAAGGCAGCACCTGCAGCTCCAGCTGGGCACGGGCTGGGCTGGCCTCATCCAAAGGGTCAGAGCAGACGTGAAAGCAGCATTGTGCCAGGAGCAGCTGCCTCCTGACGGACTGCCCGAGGCTGGGGGGATTACAAAGCTGTCAGCTCCTGCTCTGAGGCTCTGGATTGCTGGAAGCATTGCAGTGGGAGCAGGAATCCTTCCAGGGCGTTGAGAAGGACGGTGTGCAGGGTGTGGGCCACCTCCCCGCCTCCGCCTGCTCCATCCGCGGCACCATGCTGTGGTGCCCAGCGCCATCTCTTCCTACGCGCGCCCTGGCATGCACTTTGTGCTGAATTTGAACCCGTGGTGGATCCTGCTGCAGGGCCGTGGGGCTTGTCCCTGTTGATGTTGGCATTAGGACAGAACAATGCTGCCTGCTGACTCATGGTGATAGCTCCAACCTTCCCATAGGAGACCAGCCCAGGGCATCCTAGCCTGGCCTGCGTGTCCACCTGCCACTGCCACGTCCCCAGAGCATCTCAGCTGAGGAGGAGACAAGCAGAGAGACTGACCAGTGACACTTAGCTGTGCCCCCAGGAGCCCTTTCAGTTCCAAAGGGGTTGCTCCAGCAGCAGGCATGGAGCCTCCTGCCTGCTGGGAGGTTGGCCATCACAGCATGGTGTGGCACTGTGTGAGCGAGGACACGGCACAGTGTGGCACCGTGTGAGTGAGGAGGAGAGGCACGGAGGGACAGACAAGCAGAGAGACTGACCAGTGACACTTAGCTGTGCCCCCAGGAGCCCTTTCAGTTCCAAAGGGGTTGCTCCAGCAGCAGGCATGGAGCCTCCTGCCTGCTGGGAGGTTGGCCATCACAGCATGGTGTGGCACTGTGTGAGCGAGGACACGGCACAGTGTGGCACCGTGTGAGTGAGGAGGAGAGGCACGGAGGGACAGAAGCTGCCGGCTGGCACGGTGCCACAGGCGCCTTCGCCGGGGAGTCCAAGCTCCCATTCCCGTGCAGTGCCCGGAGTTAGGCTTGCACTGACCTACTTTGGCTTGACACACATTTCATGGAGCAGGCACAAAGCCAAGTTTGCCTGTGGGCCAGGACTAATTGCTCCAGGGAGGGAGAGGTTTGGGAGGAAATGGAATTGGAAGGGGTGTTTCCCTGCTGTTCCCAACCTCCCCCTACACGTGGGTTCAGATTAAGAACCCGGGCTTTAAAAATAACATCTGGAGGAGCAGTGGAGCCAGGTGCCCGCGCCACCTCTGGGACAGACCTTGTCTGTCCTGTTTCTTCTTGATGGCCCTGGTTTCAAAGGACCAGTATGGTCTTCCTTAAGGGAAGATGCCCTACAGCACAGTCCAGTCTTGAGCAGGGGAAAGAGAGGCTTCCCTGCAGTGTTGTCCCAGGAATAAATCTCTCCTTAGCCCACAGTGCACATGGACTGAGTTCTGGGTGCACCTCCTTTAAGCTCTCAGCAGTGTCATGGATGATTCTGGCCTTCTCCTGGCCTTCAGGTCATGGGGTGCCTTTGCTCTGTGGTTTCACCATGGTGCTTTGGCTGCAGAGCACTTGCAGGTGAACAGCGGCTGTCACAATTCCCAGGGGAGCTAATTATATAGGAAACGCTCACCAAGGGCTGCTGTCCATAGCGCTGGATCTCCAGACATGAATTGCTGGTCCATGACTTTTCTTTAGGGGTTATAGTCAAAATTTTCCAGGAAGCCCAAGGGAACTTGATGTCCCCCATGGCTGATCACTGGTGATCAGGACTGGTGTGAAAGGATGAGAAACAGGACAGAAGCACAGGTTTGGTTTCCTGTGCTGTACCATTTCTGTACGGAAACACTGGACAGGACACACAGGTCCGAGAAGCTCATCACAAGGTGCATTATTTCCTGAAGATGCAGATACCAGACTGCTGCTTTCCCTTACCAATCCCTCCACATTCCACACTGTTTTCCCCCTGCTGTGGTGTCAGAGCACCTTGGGAAGGGCACTGGCACCAAGAGTAGGGCACTGAGGAGCTCTGCAGAGCTGTGATGGGGCTGCAGGGAATGCCTCTGGTTTTCTGATGTCCCTCAAGCTTTCCACTGGTTTTGTTGAAGAACTGGATCAAGTCGGTCTTCTGTAGCATCTGTTCATGTTCTCCATCTGGTTCTCCAGTGGTTCCCTCTGTGCTGGAGACCAGGTCTCCGTATTGCACCTTCCCACACTTGCTGGTGCCTTTGATCAGAACGGGCTTGTGCAAGTGTGCAGGACTCCAAGATGTGCCGGTGCTGGGCTGTTAATGCGGCAGCTCCGCTTTTCCCAGCTCCAGCCTGAGCCTCCTCTTCCAGTAGCAAAAGGCAAGTCACCATGGAAACATCCACCTGGAAACGCTCTGCTCAGAGGACGTGTGATTGTGGGATTCAGCGCAATCAAACTGTCAGGATCTGTCCCAGGGATTTTTCCATTTGGGATTTTTCCATTTGGGATTTTTCCATCTGGGTTTGCAGCACTGCAGCGAAGCACGGCAGCACCCGCTCCCTGTAACGCCGCCCTGCATCCCCACGGCTGGGCAGGGGACCATACCCGGCCACGGTGTGCCCGGAGTGCGGAGGCTCCATGTCTTCCACATGGCATCCCTGGCACGACTCGATCCGGGCGCCGAGGAGCCGAGGTTCAAGTGAGGTTGAGTGCCTTGAAAACTGGTAATTTAGCCAAGTACTAAAAAGAGGAGGAAGATGAGGCGGACATTTAAGTAGAGACGAGCGCAGATGTTATTGCCTTCTAGGAGCTGTATTAAAATGTAAATTATAGTTAATGTCGTCTTGTAGGGAAGAAAAGCTCTTGAAATAAATTTCCTATTTTAAGGTAGTAGCGAGCTGCTGTGAGTGCGCAGCAAAAGTCCTTTTTATAGGTTCTAATTAGCAGCCAGGTTCTGGCTGTTGCCTCCTTTGGCACCTAAAGGGGAAAAAAAAAGGCGTTTGATAAAAGTAACCACAAAGAAAAATGCGTGGAGCTGCCCAGATCCCCTCGCCAGTGGAGCCAGTGTCCCGTTAGCCCCTTCCCAAGGATGCCACCGCTCAGCGGGGTGTGTTACCCGCGTGGGTTCAGGAGAAGTTTGTAAACTGCCTCCCTCCATGCAGAAGCCCTGGCAGCCTGGTTTTCCTGGCCATCTGGTGAATACTGCAAGCCCTTTGAGGCCTCCTGAGGCTGCTCCTCAGCCCAGTACAGCCCCTTTCATCAAAATCCTCTTCATTACTGGGGTGATGGGGAGCTGAGGTACCCCAGGGAGTGGAAACCCCTGATGCATGAGGAGAACCACACCATGCTTAAGGCCATATGGAAAACTTTTCGGCTTCATTGGCCCTACTGGGTTTAGATCGTGCCTTCAAAGGTGTGGGAGATGTTTATGTCTTGTTTTTAAAACCTTTCATTTCCCTAATCAAAGGCGTTCCTGGAGTCTTGCTGTTCCTGTCTGCATCCCATTTCTCTCGTGCGGAGCACTGAAGCGGTAGAGCCACGAAGCCCCACGAGATCCCAACCAAAGATCCCTCTTCTTGCCTTGAGAACAGTTTGGTGGCAGTGAAGGGAAACATGGATTTCTGCTGTCGGCTTGCCTGCTGTGTAGATGCTGCAATTAAACTGCTCTGTCATGCTCTAGTTCTCCAGAGGAATAGGTGCTCAGTCCCCGAAGGGGAGTTATGGAAGTTACGGAAGGGCAGGATCACTGGGGCTAATGGTGTGGGCTGGGACAGCCGCAGCCGCTGCTTTGGGTGTAGTTTCTGAGCACCCAGAGCGGGCTGCCCTGAGCTGTCTCCAGTTGGGTTTTGAATGTCTCCAAGGCTGGAGTCTCCGTAGCCCCTCTGTTCTGGTCTTCGACCACTTTTATGGGAAAAAAAAAAAAGCGCTTTTGCTTATATTTAAATGGAATTTCTTGTATCTTGGTTTGCACCCACATGCATAAAGATTTACGTAGCCTCGGTGGCAGCCTGCAGCAAACACTTCCACTCTGGACCAGACCTTTATTAGCAGGGATAATCTGCCAGGAAGCTTGGTAATTAGCCTGGGGCTGCCTGGCGCTGGCCTCACCTCGCCCTGCTGCTGGGCTGGGTAGAGGGACAAAGCCGGGGCTGGCGTCGCCGTGCCCCAGCTACCTCCTCCCAGCCGGTGCCAGGAAGCCCCATAGGTCTCACGCTGACACCGGAGCAGTGGTGGCAGGTCCCCCTGCCTCACACATAACCCCGTCCCTTGGCCAAGAGCGTGCAGGGGGAGCTAGGCGCGTGTCCGGGGACACCGTGCCTGTCTTCACCGACTAAACGCTGTTTCTTGGAGGCTCCTGTCTGGCTGGTGGTGGCAGATGGCAATTCTGCTGGTAAACGCTTTGAAAGAATCTACTCAGGCAGGCAGAGGCTCACAAATTCATTATCCTGGGCAAACCAGACAGAGATTTAAGCTGCAGAGGTAAGAAGATTGTTTCACCGATCCTGTCTTTGCTGTCTTCCCCTGGCTCGGTGGGTGCAGTCAGGGTGTGCTCCAACTGCGGGGTCCATCTCCTGCTCAGTGCGAACGCCACGGTCTGCAGCTGAGATCCCTACGTCCACATGGCCAACAACCCTTGCAAGGGCAGAGCAACCCCCCAGCACCCTCTCTCTGGGCAGAAGAGGTCAGATCAATGCAAGGGGCTGCGTTGCGTTGCATTGGCAGGGGCTGCAGGTTGCTGCAAGGCTTTGCACCCCCGCTGCACCTTCTGGATCCCACCCTGAAGGACCAACCATCCCCACGGAGAAAGGAAGCCCAGGGCCTTGCCCACACTTTCAGAAGGGGTCAGGATAGGAGTCCAGATCTCCAGGACTAGCTGCTGCCTCTGCTTCATCCCAGCAGACCCATTCCAGTGCACTCAAGTGTTAGAAACTGGCACTGGAAGCAGTCTTCCCTCTGATGACAGTGTTTGAGGCCAAAACCAGTGTGTGCCCATCATGCCACTCACGAGCCCCATCTCAGAGCGATCCAGCATCTCTGGAAGCCTCCGTACGCACATCTTGGTGCGGAGGAGCAGTATGGGAGCTTCCCCTGCTGCCTTGTCCAGCCTGCATATGGGGTGCACTGGCTGCAGCCCCCTCCCCAGCACCCAGGCTGGAAACCTCAGGCTGGCATCGCTAAAAGCAGCAAAGGGTGGCTGCTCCCTAAAAACCAGGAGGCAGCCAGGAGAGCACTTCAGGGCATTTCACAGAAGCAGACGTGTTGTTCCAAGTTGCAGGATTGGTGATTCTTTCCTTCCTGTTAAGTGATAAAGCGGAGGTGATTAAATTATAATTAAGCAACACGTGATGTGATTGATTGCCCCCCTTGAAACCCAGGTTCATTCACCGCAGGAGGGTGACATGTGCTTCGTTTCACGTCCCCATCCCTCGGACCCGTTGGGATGCTCAGAGGAGGAGGTGCTCCTCAGCCCAGGGACATCATTCCGCTGCTGTGCCTACGGAGCGGTGGGCACACAGGCGCTGGGATTGACCAAGCGCGGTGCTGAGCACACAACTGTGCTTTCAGGAATGTTAATCACTGCTTCTTGCAGCTTTTTCCGTCATGCTGCAGCTGCAGGTCCTGACGGGAAGCTCATCTTTACTGTCTGTAACACCCTGAGTAGCTACGATCCCTTGAGCTTTGTTCAGGCCGGGTGAAGAACTTCATACAGCTTTGAAGTTCTTCCAGAAAAAAAAAAAAAATTATCTGCCGTAGACATGTTCCTCTAAAGCGTAAAATCTCTCTTCTTGAGGCACTCTGCCCATCTCCCATCCACCCTTTCCGGCTAAAGGAATCACGCCGATGCCAGGTGCAGACTTGCCCAGCCTCCTTCTGCAGGGATTCAGCATGAGGGAGCACTTCGCAGTTGCTCTGAGGGACCAGCCGACCTTCCAATACATCCTTGGGGTGTCAGAGCCTGAACCCCGTGTCCTCCCCGCTGTGTTTCAGGGAAGGTCAGCAGAGCCCGCAGGCACCGGCCAAACCACACGCTTGGTTGACCTCCACTGCTGGGATGCTGAAGGATGTTCCCCTGGGAGAACCAGCCATGGGTGCAAGAAGACATGCTTTAGCGTGCAGCCTGGCAGAGCTTGGCATGCCGTAGGGAGCCCTGCCACAGGGCGTGCAGGATTTATCTCCTTGCACCAGCACACCATCCCCAGGCTTCCGCTGCAGCCAATGGAGAAAATGAGGTGGTTCTGCAGCATGGTCCATCTCAGCTGATGGGCAGATGGGCGTCTCAACCAGATTGTTAGTCAGAGCTGAAGCTGGGGGAGGTGGTGCATTCATTCCTCTTGGAAATGCCAAAATACCAGGCTCGCTCTTTAGCCAGAGTGGTTGGGTGCAGCTGCCCTGGCACCAGCCCCGCAGCCCGGCTCCGTGCCGAGGACACGTAGGGCAGCAGCTTCACGTTTCTTTAATTAAAGACAGAGCATGGAACTGCCCTGCTGCTTTGAATAATTACATGGGTTAATCATTTTGAGCTTAACAAGGCTTTTTGTTGTTCCCCAGGTTTTCAAGAATCTGGAATTTGATGTATGAGTCTTGGCCAGTTCTGCCTTTTTCTTTTCCCTGGAGTCTTCATCTCCCTTTGCGTTGCCCTGACCCCATCCCTGTGCCCACGCCGCACCGAAACCCCTTTGCTCCCCGTCTCCCCAAACCCCACAGCTCCGAGCAACGCCGCTCTCCTTGTCCTGTCGCAGGTGGTGCGAGACCAGATTTCCCACTGCACGGTCAAGCTGCGCCAGACCACGGGCCTGATGGAGTATTGCCTGGAAGTCATCAAGGAGAACGACCCCAGCGGCTTCCTGCAGGTCGGTGTGGAGGGGCTCACGCCTGGGCTATGAGGGGAAAGGCGTTGCACAGCCGAGGGCCCTGGGGTAACACACGAGAGGCCAGGGAGTTATCCCAGAAATGATGTCCCCAACTTTTCCAGCTGTAAAATCTAGGACCAACCTCTCATCACCTCCAGGTTCACAGCAGGACAGAAGCAGAACCCGGCCAGGGATGTTTCTTACTCTGCCCAGAGGGTTGTGGCAGACAGTGGTGTGTCTCTGGAGCAGTGATCGTAACGTGCTGTCTCGTGGTTCTCCAGCCAGAGACGGGCACACAGCACTGGAGAACTGCATCCCACCGTTCACTCCAGGGCTGGTCCCTTTGATACTAGACCCTGCCTTTGAAATAGTCCCCAGAGCTCCTGGAGTCACTCTGCCAACCTGAGCCCGCAGCGAAGGGCGATGCTGGAAACCATGTGTGACGTCCCAGCCTTCAGTGGCAGCCAGGGAGGTGCAGGGAGGGTGGAAAGGAGGGCAGGGACGGGGCATGGCATGTGGCCCAGCTGGCCCTTGGCAGCTGAGGCCACTCCTTGCCACCAGATCTCCGACGCTCTCATCAGGAGAGTGCACTTAACCGAGGACCAGTGGGGAAAGGGGACGCTCACGCCCCGGATGACCACGGACTTCGACCTGAACCTTGACAACGCTCCTTTGCTACAGTCCATCCATCAGCTGGACTTCGTGCAGATGAAAGGTAAGAATATTTCCAGTGCGTTTCAAAAACCTGTCTCTGCTCATGCTGAGTGCTTCCATGCGGTTCGTCACACGGAAGGGGCAGCAGAAAAGAGTTTCTCGTCTTCTCCCAGCAAGATTTGGCAGCACAGACCCAGAGTTATGCCCATTCCTGTGTATTTTGCACCCTTGGGCACCCATCTGCCTCCCTGTCCCTGCTCCCCGGGCAGCTGTGTGCCCAGTCAAGGTGCAGGGAGCTTGGTTTTGCCTGGCAGTGCTTTTGAAAGCACTCAGCAGTGCCAGGAAGGCCAGACTCGTCAGCTGGTGGAGGTTGGCTCCAGAGTCTCAGGAGCAGCACAAGGTGCTGAGCACCAAACCTCAGTGCTGAGCAGCACCTGGCATGGGCCAGCTAGTGAGCTGCCTGCTGCGGGCAGCCACCTTGTCCCTCCAAACACAAAGCCACAAAGAGCCACGCCACTTAGCTCGGGGTCTTTCCTCCCTCCCTTCTCCTCCCTGTTGTTTCAGCCCTTCATCTCAATTTTAATTTCCTCCTCGTCCTCCGTTCCCTCTGTGCTCGCTCTCCTGTAGCACGGAAAGCCGCTGCGTTCGCGTCGCTTTGCAGGAAGCAGCGGAGCCGCTGCCACCTCTGAGCAATTTGCCACTTGGCAAGCCCTGGGAAGCTGACGAAGATGCAAATGGGCTGCGAGGCAGGGAAGCTCAGGAGGACCTTGAACGTGAGCCTGTACCTTCAGCTGCCTGGAGGAAAGGCCACCAGTCTGGCATGGTTCTTCATCGCCGTCACGGCTGGACTTCCTGCCTCAGGAACCGTTGGCACACGCCAGCGTTTCTCAGTGGTCAGACACAGGAAGGCTCTTGGCCACGCGCTTCCTCTGCACCGATAACGAGCATCTTGGAGCAGTGACCCCGCTGGTGTGTGCTGCAGCAAGAGGGGTGCGCTGGCCACGGCTGCTGGGAGCGCCAGTCGGTGCTCGTCGTTAGCCGGGCCGTTAATTTGAAGGGTCAGTAGTGTTTGGGGATGGCAAAGGGAGCCAAACCCAGCCAGGGCTGGGCTGTGGTTCTGCTTACACGCAAGTCACGGAGACGTTGGCGTGTTCCTGCCCTCCCTTCTTTCAGTTTAGCCCCGGGGAGGTGTTTTTAATTAATGAGAGCAAGTCTACTGCCAGTTCAGCTGCCTGCCCTGCGTGGAGGCCGGGCAGAGCTGGCAGAGGCTGTCCTCTTGTCTCACCCTCCCTGTGGAAATAAGTTGTTGTGTTTTGTAGACTTTGCCAAAGGTGGGGTTTGGATCCCAGACACCCGTCGTGGCACCAGGGGAGGCAGGGCAATGCCAGAGCTCTCGATGAAGAGTGGAGGTGAGCAGTAGGTACAGGGCATCCCGCATCCAGTGCCAGCACGTGCTGGGCAGGAGCAGCATCCCTTCTGCTGTGTCAGCTGTAACACGAGGTTTTTCTCCAGGCCCTCAGCCTGGTGGTTCCTGCTAAGGATCCAACCCAGGAGGTGGAGGAGTCACAGAGGGAGGTGGTGAATGGTGAACCTTTGCCAGTGAGTCCATCTTTGCTTTCCCAGACATCTGTGCTCCTCCATGTCTTGTCTGGATTCTCCACATCTTCTTTCCAGTGGCTCTTATCAGCCTTTGGGCAGTGAGGATGAGGATGGAGGACAAGCAGCTCTGTTGAGAGGAGGTTTGGGAGAGCTCTCCCTGGCCAGGGGATGAGATGTTTCAGGAGCAGAAGCAGGCTGCGTTACACACCTGCAGATGCCCAGGTACAGCAGTTGGAGCAGAAAAAGCCCTGACCATCCTTTATGTCCCCTGCGTAGCTGGTGGGGGGCCGTAGGGTGCACAGTGTCCCAGCTCCGCGTGCAGAGGCCGAGGATGGGGACTGTCTGGTGCCTGTTTAGAGACCTCTGTGAAATGTCCTTGTGCCCCTTGTGCCCCCCAGGGAGGTGTTTGGCAGCGAGAGCTGTTCGCTGGCCACGCTGGCAGAGGGGACAGCCCCGTGGGAACCAGCCTGCCCTCGCCCCCGGAGTGGGTGCTCTGCTCAGGACAGTGTGGAAGGACCCTGAGCCTTCTTTGGCAGAGTTCCACCAAACCAGCATCGCTGAGGGACACACTCACCTCTTCACCAAGCCTCGCCGTTCCTGTGGTCACCTCCCAGACTCTGCCAGAGCAAAAAGAATCACAGAATCACAGAATGTCAGGGGTTGGAAGGGACCTCAAAGGATCATGTAGTCCAATCCCCGTGCTGGAGCAGGACCACCTAGATCAGATCACACAAGAACGTGTCCAGGAGGGTTTGGAACATCTCTAGAGAAGGAGACTCCACAACCTCTCTGGGCAGCCTGTTCCAGTGTTCTGTTCCCCTTACTGGGAAGAAGATCTTCCTCATGTTTAAGCGGAACCTCCTATGTTGCAGCTTATCTCCATTTCCCCTTGTCCTATCATTGGATGCCACTGAGAAGAGCCTGGCTCCATCCTCATGACAGTCACCCTTTCCATATTTATAAACATTAATGAGGTCCCCCCTCAGTCTCCTCTTCTCCAAGCTAAAGAGACCCAGCTCTCTCAGCCTTTCCTCAGAAGGGAGGAAAAAAAACAAACCAGGGCCTCCCTATTCTGCAGGGCCTGAGGTTCATCTCTGCCATTCGGGCATCGCTTGTTTTGTTGCAGCGGATTTGAGTGGTGGAAGGGCGGAGCAGCGTGTGCTGCTGGGCTGTACATAAAGCCAAGCCCTCAGCTGCAGCCAGCTCTTGGGAGCGTGTCCCCAGTTTGGGACTGGCTGCTGTGAAGAGTCCAGGTGGTTCTGTACCAGGTGTATTGTTCTGTACCAGGTATATTGTTGCGCTGCTGTATTTCACCAAAATTCCTTCGAAAATGGGAAGAAAGCACAGAAGCTCTGGGGAAACTTCAGCTTCACCAGGCTGCGAGGCGGAGGAATTCGGTGGAGCTTGTTTGGAGAATGGTCCTTTCTGCTTCCTCCCCACCTCACACCAGTCAGATCACAGTTACATCCCTTGTGCCATGCTGGCTTCCCAGGCAATAAACGCATCCTCTGTGCTCCAGCTGGAACTTGCACATCGCTGCCATCCCCCCGCTCCTCCTCGGTGGTGCCAGCAGCCAGGGTTACACTAATTTGGGTTTAGTTTCCTCCCCAGTGCCGGCCCCCCCGATCCTGCAGCTCGAGGAGTGTTGCACCCACAACAACAGTGCCACCTTGTCCTGGAAGCAGCCCCCCTTGTCGACGGTGCAGGTGGAAGGATACATCCTGGAGCTCGATGATGGCAACGGCGGCCAGTTCAGGGTAGGTGCTGGGAGCGTGAAGCCAGTCCCAGCGGCAAAGCGTCGCTCCTGGCTCCGGTATCGCCGTGCCACGAAGGGACCAAAGAGTTCTCCAGACTTTTTGCAAGTCCCCTCCTTTCCTGGAAGCATGAGGCTCGCTTCTGGGGTGTCTGGGGAGGCCAACGGTGCAGAGAAGCTGTGGGATCTTTTGGGGGCAAGGTGATTTGAGGGGGTGGAAATACCTTTCCAGTGACCAATATGACTTACAAAGGCAAAGAACGTATTTGAAGCTCCATCTTTTCAGGTTGCTAAATATCTCATGCAAGGTGTGCTAATTGCCGTGAAAGACTCCTGGTTTGCCAGCTGCCAGCAAGCAGAGGTGCTTAAGGCCTGAGGGCTTTTAAATTGTTCTAATTACACAATTAAAATATGATTTTTCTCTGATTTGACACGCTGGTAATTATCCTGGCATGTTCACATCCACCGAGAGCAGGAGCAGGGACAAGCCCATCGCATTTTCTGAATCCATCCTCAAGAAACTCAGCCAGGCAGGAGCCAGAGCAGTTGGGGCAGAAGAGAGGTGCCATGGGTGGGATCTGGAGAGAGAATCATAGAATCCTAGAACGGTTTGGGTTGGAAGGGACCTTCAAGACCATCCAGTTCCAAGCCCCCTGCCATGGGCAAGGACACCTTCCACTAGATCAGGTTGCTCAAAGTCATCCAACCTGGCCTGGAACACTTCCAGGGATGGGGCATCCACAACTTCTCTGGGCAACCTGTTCCAGTGCTTCACCACACTCAGAGGGAAGAATTTATATAATATGTAATAATAATCTATAATGTAATATATGTAATGTATATATAGTAATAATCTATAATAATCTAATATCTAATCTAAATCTCCCCTCTTTCAGTTTAAAGCCATTGCCCATTGTCCTGTCACTACATGCCCTTGCAAAAAGTTTCAGTAGCCTGTGGGCCAGTTCACTGCTGTCCCCGTCGCCCAGCTCTGTCCCTCTGAGCGGGGCTATGGCAGCAGAAGCGTGACCCGCCAGGGAGGCAGCACCCATTCCACATGACCACCTTGTTTTCTCTCAAGGAACACTTTGATCCTGCCACCCACGAGCACACAAAATTGTTTCTGGCAAGGATGTTTCCGTGTCCTGGGCTCAGTCTGCACAGATCCCACAGAGCTCTTGCAGGATTCAGTCAGAGCCCAGCTGGGATTGATGCCTTATGGCTTGGTCCAACATGAAGAGCATCTCCTTCCCCTACAGGAACTGGTTTTATGGCACAGTGTTGTCAAGGAACAAATCCCAGGGCCGTTGTGCTCTGCTTTAGCCATATCCAGCGCCCATAACGCTGCCCCAGGGAGCGGAGCGTGGCTGAACCCTGCGCACCGCGGCTGCCGGGAGCTGCGCTCCCACCCTGGCATCCGTGGTTGGGGCACTGACCCGTGCCTGTGCTTGCTTTGCAGGAGGTGTACGTGGGCAAGGAGACCATGTGCACGGTGGACGGGCTTCACTTCAACAGCACGTACAGCGCCCGTGTCAAAGCCTTCAACAAAACGGGAGTCAGCCCCTACAGCAAGACCCTGGTCCTCCAGACATCCGAGGGTAAGGCGTTGCGACAGCTCCCGCCCGACACGCTCGGACGCTGCTCACACCCGCGTGTGGGGCCCATCTGGCACCCCCGAGCTTGGCACTGCGCTACGGGGAACCGCTCCGCCGGTCCTCCGGGACCTGGGCAATCACCGCAGGAAAGCCAGCGCTGACGGGAAGGGAAAGGCTGTGGCAGGAGCGTTGAGCAGTGCCAGAATTTCTCTCTCACCCCTTTCCTTTGCAGAAGATGCTCTTTGGGGAGGTACAGTGAGAGGCACCCTGCGGAGAGGTATTTAAAATTTGCTTGCAGCGGGGTTTGTGTTCCGCAAAGGGAAGCTCAGATGTTGTCGTTAATTCCGTTTAAAACAAACCAACGCTGCCGACGTCGCTCCTGAGACACTCCGGGCTGTGCATGGCTGCACACCACCGTAACCACCCCGTGTCTCCTCCGGCCCCTGGCAGCACCCGGCAGAGCGCGGAGGGACCGCGGAGCCACCCGGGTGTCCCCGCAGACCCGTGGGGTGCGCGGGCAGCGGCGCCGTCGTCCTCTGCATCGCCCCCGTGCCAGCGGGCGCTCCATTAGGGTATTAAACACCCACTTGCAGGCTGCAGAGGAGTCTTCCCACCTGACTTTAGGTACGTTTGGCACATCAGGTGCCTAGTCTGTCGCGGAAAATGGGCTTCCTTCTGGCATGCAGGTGGAGAGTTGTGAGGCTAGCTCCGAGAAACGAGGTGGGAGTCGGAAGCAGCAGGTGATGCAGCTGTGAAGGAAGGAATCAGCCCCCACCAGTGCATCTGCCACCCCCTAACCTTGCTGCCAGGCAAGAAACCCTTCCTTGGGAGTTTTCCACACTTGGTGGAATCTCTTTTCCTTACTCCCAGACTAAAATCTGCCTTTTCCAAGCGTTGCCAGACCTGGTTCTAGAGCAGCAGCACATTCCTGCAGTCCCAGCAGCTGCCAGCAGATCAATCCAGGGACAGAAGGAAAGACACAGCTTGTGGGGCTGCTGTGGGGTGGAAGGAGGGTGAGATCTTTCTTGCCACAGAGCATCTCTGGTGGCTTTGAGCAAGGAGAAAAAAAGGTTTTCTGCTGAAAGAATAGAAGACAAAAGCAGTGCAAGGCTGTGCACAGCATTTTCACTTGCCTGCACTCATCTGCAGGAGACAACCATTCCAGTTTGGAAGGGGCATGTACCAGGTTTGGATGGGTGGGCAGGACAGGTCAGCAAGGAATGGGACTCATGTGGCAGAGGTAGAGTGGAGAGCAAACCCATGACAAACCTTCTCATACAAGAGGCAGAAGACTCAAATCACAAGCCACAAAGGCCTTGGCACATCTGTCTGAGAGCTGCGTGCGTGTTTGCACAGCTGGGCACTGCTGTCGAGGAAGCTGCAGTGTTCCGCTGGAGAGCCAGGGACGGGACAACCTGGATCCAGCGGTGGCCAGGACCACTCCCAAGGCCTGAAGGTCAGCAGTTCTCATCCCTTTCACTACATGGCTTCCCCAGCCTTTGCAGGACACAGCAGAGCTTTGGCTTGCCATCACACTTCTGTCTCATGAGAAGCATTTGAGACACAGTTTCCTAACCAAAACCAGTTGGGCTTTACGTCCTCCCAGGCAGGGGTTTGCAGGGTCCTCATTATCATCTTTCCAGCTCTCCTTTCCTCTCATAGGTGTTGTCACTGTCAAGCCACGCTCGCCAATCGCGCGGCTCCGAAATAGGAAGGAATCTTGGAGAAAATAGCTGTGGGTGGTCCCAGCAGGCCAGGCTGTGCTTGGGGCTGCTGCCTCGGTCGGTGCCAGCAAAAAGAACTTTCACTCCTCTGAGCATCGGAGGAAAGTTCGCTGCATTCACCGAGTGGGCTTTTGCGTTTGTTATTCCAGCACGAAAGAAAGAGGGAGAAAAAGTCAAATGGACCTGGAGCATTTTCTGCTCTTGGAGGCCGTCTGAGCTTCTCAGACTCCAAGTGAAATAAATGACATCCGTGTGCAGCTTCCAGATATCCGAGGGATGTGTTGAATAGAGCGGTCTCGCACATCACAGCTCTCGGTTGGGCTTTTCTTTCCGGCCTTTACAGCAGCATCAGGCCTTTAAGTGCTGTTTTATCCGCAGTGGGCTCAGCTTTCCCCTTCAGCCGTGCTCTGCAGCTCGCGGCAAAGCGTTCGGGCGGCAAGAGGGGACAAAAGAAGAGACGGGCTCGATACGAAGAGAACATCTCTCCAAAGAGGGCTGGCCCGCTGTAAGTGGGTAGGAGAAATTCTGCTTAGAGGGTGTGGTTTAAAAGCTGGCTTCTAGTCCGAGCACACAAGGTCCTTTTCTGCAGCCTGTGGAAGTTAACTGAAGTCTTTCTTGTGCCTTCAAGGAGCGGTGGAATGGGCTGTAGAGGCCGGCGGGGGTGAAATGTCTTGCAGGGTCTCAGCATCAGAAGAGAACAAGGATGAGAAGAGGGTAAAATTGTGTCTGGGCCCTCTGCAAGCACGTCTCTGCGGTTCTGTGCAGCCAAACAACCACAGTGAGCCAGGCAGCACTGACGGGAATGTCCCACGGGAATTTGGCACACGCACAAGCCTACAGCAAGGCGCGAAGCACCTTCCCAGCCCGTGGCGTGGCACATCTTCTCCTGCTCATCCCAAAGGAAACTACATTTTCCAGCTGAGGAAATTGCAGTTCACTCTTCGAAGCTGGTGCTTGGTGCCACCAGCCAGGCAAGGTGGCTCCTGGCTGGCAGAAGGTCTGTGTCCCAGAGCGCTTCCCACCGGCTGGGCCCTCTGGGGCTTCCCAGGGAGGAAGATCCTCATCATCAGCACAGCCAAACAGACGCAAGGGCTGAAGGCCACGGTCCTTACCTTGAGCGGTGTCCTCTCCCTAGGCTGTTTCACTAGGAGGATCTCTTGCCTTGTCCCACCTTAGCCGGTGCCTCTCAGGACATTGCTGCAATGTGGGGCCTGGCTTGAGCTCTCTGTTTCTTCAGCACCTGAGTGAAGTTCAGCTGCAGGCTTGGAAATTGGTCTGGAATAAAGTTTGCCAGTCCTGTCCCAGTGCACAGGCAGCTTACAAAGCTTGGCCGATGACAGCACCGCTGGACTGTCCTCACCCCTGGGAGACCTCAAGTCTCCCCCCAGCCTCCTCTCCTGGTCTAGGCAGCCCCAGCTCTCTTGGTCTTTCCTCATCCAGCAGATTTTCCATCCTCTGGCCAGTCTCCTGCTGACTTCGGGACTCAGTTTGTTTTCCTCTTGCCACGTTCCCATTTTCACCCTACCCACAGCCGGTGGTTCCTTGGTGCGTTCATGGCTGCGGTGAGAGCAGCCTCAGAGAGGTTGTGCAGAAGCCCCTGGCTCTGATCTGCTGGTCATGGTGGGATGCAAACGGCCGCTCCCAGGAACAGGCACCTGAGGCATGGTGGCAAGGAACAGAGGAGGAGACCTCTCGGTTGCAGTGGGATTAGAGACTGTAGGTGGGCTGGCTGCTGGCTTGCTTTTCTCTAGAAGACTTTCTGAGATGGCTTCTGAGTCCTTCCAGTGTCATTTTTTTCCATGGGCTGTCCACCAAGCTGGACGGTGGTATGAAGGACCAGCTTGCCTCAGATAGAGGCAGAGAGGAGGAGCTTGGCAGGTCTGGAGACTGTCCCTGCCTACTCCCCAGGCCCAGATCTGCTCTCCTGGGTGGTACAGAGGTTCAACCTCCCTCCTGCCGAAACCCAGTGGTCCATCATCACCCTTCCCCAGGTCCCCCTGACTGCCCACACCTCAGCCCTTCCTTTGGGCTGCTTCATGCCTTCAGCCACACTCTCCTGGGCATGTGCTGCCTGTGCTGCCTGCAGCCGAGCACTGGGAGCCAGCGCGGGGGCCGTGTGCCGGGAGCTGCCTCCGCTCCCCTTTCTCTCGGCTGCTCTGAGTCTCCAGCTTCAGGCATGGCTGCAGAGTTTCAAGGCAAGCCTGGTTTTGGCTTCTTGTTTCTTGTGCAAAACTGAAGCCTAGGGGCAGAGGACTGGGGAGGGACCCCTGCCCTGTCACACCCTGTGCCCTGCTGTCCCCTCTCCCAGGTTCTCATGCTTGGTCCACTCTACCACCATAACGAGCAGCCGCTCCTGGCCACCTCTGCTACCCTGGGGATCATAGATTCATAGAATGGTTTCGGTTGGAAGGGGCCTTCAAGATCATCTAGTTCCAACCCCCCTGCCATGGGCAGGGATGCCTTCCACTAGATCAGGTTGCTCAAAGCCTCATCCAACCTGGCCTTGAACACTTCCAGGGATGGGGCAGCCACAACTTCTCTGGGCAACCTGTGCCAGTGCCTCACCACCCTCATTGTAAAAAATTTCTTCCTTATATGTAATCAAAATCTCCCCTCTTTCAGTTTAAAACCATCACCCCTTGTCCTGTCACTACACACCCTTGTCCAAAGCCCCTCTCCAGCTTTCCTGTAGCCCCTTTAGGAACTGGAAGGCTGCTGGAAGGTCTCCCGGGAGCCTTCTCTTCTCCAGGCTGAACAGCCCCAACTCTCTCAGCCTGTCTCCATAGCAGAGGTGCTCCAGCCCTCGGGTCGTCTTTGTGGCCTCCTCTGGACCCTCTCCAGCAGCTCCATGTTCTTCTGATGTTGGAGACTCCAGAGCTGAATGCAGCACTGCAGGGAGGGCCTCAGGAGAGCAGAGTAGAGGGGCAGAATCCCCTCCCTGGACCTGCTGGCCACACTGCTTTGGATGTGGCAAAGGGGCTTGGGCACCATGGCCTGAGAGCCCCTCCCCAGCCTAGTTGAGCACCAGCAGCTTTTCTCTTCTTTTGGAAGAGTTCCTCGTCTGGAGTTCAACTTTAAGTTCCTTACCAGCCATGGAGTGACCCTCAGCAACAACCAGGGCTTTTTAACCAGCGGTTTTTGGAAAGGGGTGAACAGCACAAGGGGAAATACACTGCGAGGAGCTGTAGGAACCTTAGATGCTACTTAGGGAGAGTCACGAGCACAGCTACTCTTGGTAGTAGTTCCTCTCACTGTTGGCAGATGTTAGAGGGCACGTCC